TGATACCATGCGTTTCGTAAGGGAAATCTTTTAAATACTTGTACCAACAATCTAAACTTCAGTATTTATTAGAATTATAGATGTTTGGATGAAAAGTTTATAAATATCCTATAAATACTTGTGCCTAGCCTATAAATACTTGTAGGGCAACTCTTTTAAATACTTGTAATTAGGGAAACTCTTTTAAATACTTGTACCTAGCCTATAAATATCATGTTGTCTTATGGAGGTTTGGATGAAAAGTTTGAAGAAACATAGAGAATACAAGAAAAAATTCTCTGTATAATTTTTTATTTCTCTCTTCTGAATGAGTTACAAAGCTAAGCTTCAGTATTTATACTGAGCTTTTACAACTAATAACTATTATAAAAATTATAGTTTTCTTCTTTCCGTAAAATCAAATACAAAAACCTTTATATTATAAATAACATATCATTAAGGTACAGTGAAACGGAAGAAAAACAAATTGATAGGTAAGTAAAAGCAAAATAAATTATAAGTAAGAAAGTGAGCTTAGTACAGTGAAGCATGTCAAAGAAGTTGTCTTAAAGCCTTTGTAGCCTCCGTATGTGCAGGTACTGACTGTTTACAAGACTCCAAAACAAGACCCTAAGCTCAAGATCTGCTATGAGCACATTCATAGACGGATATGTTTCCAAGTTACATAACCATTGCCCAAAAATACTAATAGAAAGCGGAGAATAGATATAAAAGCAGAAAATAAGGGAATCGAATTGTAGTGGTGATTGTGGTATGTGATATTCTGATGGTATTGTAGTTGTTCAAATGCGAAGGAGGAGTGATCTTTTATAGGCATCCAAGAACAAGTCACCTTCGCCACATTAAACCAGAAAATTAAGTAATTCAATATAGAAATAATACCTTAAAATTAAATATGTATAATCCCCATAATAAATAAAATAAAACATCCAAAATAATTAAATAAATAAAAAATATTAAATTTTTAAAACCTTTTAAAATTCCAACAACAACAACCAATCACGTGATTAGTTTCCTCCAATATTTTAATTTATTAGTGAAAATTATATATGAAAAATAAAAGTAATTATCTAATAGGATAATTCAATAAACGAGAGAATGCATTTAGACACAACACAAATTTTCCTCTCCCCTCTATATACATCTTTATGAGAACATTTTGAAATGGCATGAAATCTTCATTTCCCGTTATTGCGGTATAAGTGTGATTTGTCAGGTAGAATGAAATTTCATATGATAAATCATAAGAAATTTTTTATTTACGGGCATGCAATATGAATGAGTTCATTATTAGTATCAACATCAGTTGAGTCTCATATAATTAATTATATGATAAATCATAAGAAATTTTTTATTTACGGGCATGCAATGTGAATGAGTTCATTATTAGTATCAACATCAGTTGAGTCTCATATAATTAATTTCTTATAGGTCTCATTTTTGTTTGATGATTTTTGTAGGTCTCATAGCCGCATTTTTATTTGATATTACGAATCATAATATAAGTAGAAGACATAATTGATATATCATTGGGACAGTACAGTATTGAAATAGCTTGGTTTGAATTTGCATGTGTAAGAAGACTGTACCTAACTTTGGAATTACTCCACAACCAACATGTCTTTGTTTTTTTCTTTCTTTGGTCGAACATATGTCTTTGTTGTATCTAATAAATAGGATAGTGACAATTAATTCCGTATTTTGCGTTTGTTGGCCCATTTCACGGGTTGTTTTTTTTATTCCCTTATTTTTAATATTGTTAGAATTTCAATAATTTTCGAGAAAGCGCTGCTAAAGAAGATGACGTGAGGCTTACAAGCCCAAATTACATAGTCACCCAGATGAGAGAACCCAAATTACCCATTTGGCCTTTTCATTTCCATTGGTATAAGGGCGGAGTGGAGGTGTCGGCTGCTGGGCTGGGGTTGGGTGCGTTGTGGTGGCTGCTAGGCTGCTTATTTTTATATTTTATATTCTAGTTTTTATAGAAGTTGTTTGTTCTCCTCCGGAAAATTCATCCATGGCGGCCTGGAGTTGGCCACCGGATTGTTTTCGCGTGTTGTTATGTAGGCGTGCCAATATTGGTAGCGAAAACTCCAACAGAAAGTGATTGAAAAATGTAAAATGTGCTCCAATATCGACTCTAATCAATCGATTGTGAATTGGGTGAGGAACTGACCCAATATAGATTCTTTTCTATGCCTCAATGAAGAGGACTTCAATATTTCTCTAGTGTGAAGATAAGAACAAGTAGAAAATTAAAATAACAAAAATGAAAATGAGAAATATGATATGGAACTGAAGCTTTCTCGATTCAGTTCATTATCAATGCAAACTCAAAGTAAATGACAGATAACTGCCTTAAACTAAAGATTTCTCTATTCACTTCAGTGCAATTATAGATTTTGAAAGTAAATGACAGCAAACAACTTTGGAGCTGAAGATTTATCTATTCAGTTTATTGCGGTTTGCGTGAAAATAGAAAATAGAAAATATAAATGTAAATGACAAATGTTTATAAGATTTCCTTATTCATATAACATTAAGCAAAAACAGTAAATAAAGTCCGAAGATTTCTCTATTCAGACTTTGTACAGGAAATGTAAAGGATTTGGCTTAGCAACTAGGAATCAATATCAAATGTTGGCAGATTAATAAACTAAAAAGATAACAATCATGAGTTGTCAAAACTGGTTATCTTGAAGAAAAGGCAAGGTGTTTTAAGCTCGAAGTTTTCAAGTGGTTGAAGCCGTTGAGTCTATTTAAGAGAGTTGAGCATCTTTGTTTTGATGGCTTCTCTCTTTATTTATAAAGAAAAAGAGGTATGGTGTTAGGTCCAGCTGCCAATGAGAAGTACCCACTTGCTATTGCCTTTGGTGTGTGGGTTCAGGGGCGGAACCAAGTTAAAGGCTAATCTAGACCAGGGATGCTTTTGGGTGGAAAAAAAATATCATACCTATATATTTGACTTGTTTTAAATATAGCCAAGTATATATTAACCTATTAAAATCCCAAAAAGACCAATTCTCTAAGAATTTAGTTGCATGGAAGTAATAAAAATATATAGTAAAATAAATATACTTTCAATTTCGTTGTTAAACACATTTTCATTTAGATAATATTAGTTTTCTTGTTGAATTTAATATGTATTTGTTTTATGTTAAAATTTATTGAAAATTAGTCAATGGAGTTACGAATTAGTGTAGTTTATATGATTTAATATACACTTTTATTTCTAGAAAGACTATAAAAATTGTAAGTACACAAAAAAAAGTTCATTAGCTTTACCCTAAAGACTTTAGCCAGCCCACCGGTTGAAAAATTCATAGTTTCACCCTTGAGTGAGTTGCTGAAAAAGCAAGTAAAACAAAAAAGAAGAAGTTGTTTTGGTGTTGTTCACTAAGTGAAGCTCCTCACGTGATTCAAAATTTCTTCAAAGCAACACTCCATTGTTGCCCTCCATCAGCAAGCATACTTTAATATTTAATTTTTTTTTCACTAAGTCCATGTCTCGCTCATGCACCTTCATTGACTTAACAAAAATTAACCAGCATGTCATTTAGCTTCTTCTTCGAACATGCTTTGATGTGTGATAATCCGAGCAAGCCATATTAATCAAAATGCTGCAAAATTTGGATATGTTGTTCAAATTTGGATATGTTGTTCTACACACACGTAGGAACAACTGTCATGAAGAACGCGAATCAATTTGAGCACTGGAAAATACTACGATTTGGCATGACCCAATCTGACCGATCGTCACAGACATTTCCTTCGAACAGTCTTAAATATTTAATTCCTTGAACACTCTACCCTTGTCTAACTGCTGTCAAATTTGGATACAACCTAGTAGACACTCAGATGAACAACTTTCATGAAGAACGAACGTTCACTGGAAATTTTTAAGCTGCTCATCACACTAGCCTTAGTGACTGCTTCTGCTCTCATCTGGTGTTTGCTTCGCTGAGGATTCAATATTGATTGAAATGCAGCCAATTTTGGATATGTTGTAGGAAATATCCAGATGAACAACTTTCATGAAAAATTAAATTTCATTTGAGCATTGGAAGGTGCTCATCGGATTGGAAGTTTGACAAATTGAGCTGGAAACTATGTTTCAGTATTTCATGCCCAGAAGATTCAATACTTATCCAAGTGCTGTCAATTTTGGATATGTTGCAGTAGATGTCCAAATGAAATCAAATTCTGTCAATTTTTGATTGAAGTATGTGTAAGACTGCCAAACTTTGGAATTACTCTAGAATCAGCATACGTGTTTTTGTTGTATCTAATAAATTGGATAGTGACAATTAATTCTGTAATTTTCGTTTGTTGGCCCATTTCACGGGTTGTCTTTTATTTATTTATTTATTTTAAAATTTAAATAAATTTTTAGAAAGTGGGTTAGGGCTGCGGGAATATAAGGGCGGACCCTGCTAAGAAGAGGAAGATGACATGAGGCCTGCAAGCCCAAATAACATGGTTCCCAGAAGAGAACCCAATTCACTTGAGCTCAGAGCAATCGACTGGAATTCATCCCGACTCTCTCCTTAAAAAACAACTTGTAAGGATCTTAATTGTTACAAAAATTGTGGATTTGTTTGATACATACGGATGATTAAACTATTTCCAATTTGATTGATTTTTGCAGAAATGATCATTGAATTCCGATTTAAACAATGAGTGGTTTTGATGATAATGATACGTTTAAGTATATTAAATTCCGATTTAGACAATGAGTGGTTCTGATGATAATGATACGTGTAAGTATAGTGAAGATTCGTTAATCAAAATAAAGTGGATAATGAGTTGCACAATGCAGCTAAATATGCTAAATATGCATGCAGGCATTATCTCAACTAGCTAATGCTACTAATGTTATCTACTAATTCTCATATATATATATATATATGAATAAAAGCAGAGCAGCAATTCTCACCACAAAGTAAGATTTTATTATATCCAGATATAGCATTACAAAAAAGCTGGAGTACATAATAAGTAATCAAGTAATAACCTCTTATTGCAAACTCTTACTGGCTCTATATGCTATATATGTTTATTATATATTATATCCGATACTCTCATACTTGTTATATATATATATATATATCAAACCAGTCATGCATAACCAAGATTCTTAATAGCACCTGTTATATGCAAGTTATAATTAGGTTTAATGATCTGATCATCATCAAACCCACAAGGCTCCAACGCGTTTAAGCATCGGGATTAAGGAGCGCTGAAGATGAAGATTCATGACCTCATTGGCTCCACCCACAAAATCTCCCCCAATGAACACTGCAGGCACAGTAGGGTTGCAGCCAAGCCTTGAAAGAGCTTGCTCTATCTCTCTCCCTCTCTGCATCTCGTCGAGCTCGTACACTGCTGGGTTCACCCCAAAATCAGAAAACAGGGTCTTGATTGAATGGCACATGCAGCATGAGCTCTTGCTGAAGATCACAACTGGTCTCTCTGAAGCCATCTTGGTCACCACCTCCATTGCTAAGCTAGCTAGTAAAATGCAGCACAATGCCCAATTGATCAAAGGTTGACAAGTTTGGTGAGATGATTTTCAACTGGGATTTGAAGTGAAATGCGTGACAGAAATTTAGAGGAAATTATTAAGAAAAGGGTGAGGACTCAAGGAGAGCAATGTGAGCTTTGTGTGTGGTGAGTTTTTGGGTTGCGGTGGGAGTGTATATATAGGGACATGGTGGTGGGCGAGTCAAGTGGATTGGCATTGCTGGCTTTAGATATTTTGCTAGAAATTAAAAGGGGATTTTAATTTGATAGTGCACTGCTTGCCAAATCTTGCTTTGATCTTCACTCGACAGCGATCCAATTTGATCGAATCTTTTTGAATACGGAAATATAGAGACGTGTCCTTTGTACGGCTTCACATTCTTATCTTGTCTTTGATGTGCTTATTGCCTAAATATGCACATTGTTTGTATACTTGTATTCTTTTTCTTTTTCTTCTTTCACATTCTTATCCTGATTTGCTTCCTTTATACATTATTATTCCGTCATGCTTATATTTCCGGAGGGATTTTTCTATGCGACAGTAACACTTTATGGCGTGCGAAAATAATCCACCAAAATTTTCATTTCCGGGTTTATATATTCCTGTTTTGTTTTCCAGAGGAACCCGTTTCTGCACTCTGGTTTCTCTGCCCATAGAACTAGAGAAAGCAGAAAGGGCGATACGATAGTACTCGGAGAATACTCGGTGAGTTGATGATGAACAGCAGCTAGCTATGTGGCTCATTTTGCACACTTGTTTTTTTGATCTGCCATATCTATCATCGAGCATCTGCTGAGTTGGAGAAACTAGTTGGTTTTATCCATTTGGGACCTCCTTTTTGTATTTGGATTCGCATCCAATTCATGAAAACGAAACAGAAAGCCAAGTGAAAGAGAAACCACAATTGTGCATGAATTATACATAACATGAGAACATACACAACACACATCAAAGTTATAATTGATCAAGAAGCCTAATATATATATTTTTTTATTTATTGAAAAGATATCATCTATATGTCTCTATTAGCTTACCCAAAAATAATTATATTTATTTTAAAAAAAGAAAAAAAAAGCTAGAGTAATTATTTAACTAATTTTTTTTGACCTAAAATATGGACTTTCTAATGAAATAATAATTAACTAGTTCTAAATCAGTCCCTCTCACTTTCCATCGATGACAAGTCCCAAATCCAGAAAACATGACGCCGTACGTACAATGATGCTCTGAGGTCCCCAACGTTATCCTGTGTATAGCCTTTTCCATGTGAAATTGATGTAGAGTAAATTGGCTGCCTTTTTATATTCTATATCTGGAAAAACGCCATGTATGAAATTTTCTGTGTCCATTTTCCATGAAATAATATCTACGACTGGACCGCCCACGCATATATAAATAAATATTTTCGAAAGGTCTAGAGAGAGACTATGATCAGTCATCTGTATAAGAATTAGTGATTTCCATCAAATGAAAAGCTCCTTCACTTTCTTTCCGCTTTCCGTCACCATTTCCAATTCGAATATTGGTCATGCCATTGATGGTAACGTCAAAGAATACCTACGTAATATATATATATATATAGTCACTTCCGTCCAAATTTCCGTTAAGGGATCCCTCATAAAGGAGAAGTGAAAAGCTCTCACAAAATGAGAGGTGGAAACTACACAGAGAACCCAAAGAATTTCTGACTTATTCCGAATATAAAGAAACCACAAAAAGAATGATGGTGGAGATCCGACATTGAGACGCAGACATCTGTGATAGTTGTAGGAAAATTATAACAAAACGAAGACAAATAGGGAAAACGTTTTGTTTTTGAAAATGAGGGGAGAAGATAGGGAGGAAGAGAAGAGATTCTTCCTCCCCTTTCAAAGTGAAAATGGCTCTAGGAGGATTTTTGGGAGAGAGGGGGTTAGGGTTTGGGCTAGGTATATGTATGTATATACATACATACATATATGTATATAAATAGTATAAATATGTGTATTAGTTCTTTAAGCTATATATCATATATATAAATATGTGATTTCAGGGCTTTAAGGAACAATGGCTCAATTGGGAGGCCAAGGGCCGGTTTGTAGCTAAGGTTCCTTGACAGTACATTACACTGCTCGCTCGCACTTATTAGCTAGAGCATGATGCATACATATACCAACCATCACCGTGCATGCATGGCTTCTTAGTTATCATGTCGTATGTATATATGCACGCATGACTTGCATGAACATTATGAAATGCTTGATTTTGTGCTAATTGATTTGGAGTTGGATGACCTAAATTTTAGGTTTTAGACCACATTTTAGTAATTTTTCAAAGCATTACATGAGTAATATATGAAACTTATTTGAAGACAAAACACCATGTTAAAAACATAATTGATGGGGTGATGAGTAGCATATGCTCTCGATACTCATTAATTTCGATAGGTTATAGCGTACACATCATAAACATCGCTGTACCATCATCACATATATGTACCATGCATGCATGGAACTATGAGAGAGAGAGAGAGAGAGAGAGAGAGAGAGAGTGGGGGATGAGGTCCATATATATGCGTGTGTGGGTGGCGTAATAAGTTGAGAAAAGAATGTCAACTTTAAGCACAAAAAAAAAACTTATTAAAGATAAAGATGGTATGCGAGGACGGATCGTGGCATCACACAAGTTTGATTTTTATTGTTATTTTAGTACAAGTGGCACCACACAATTTGATTAGGTAGGTGTGTTTTGAGTTGGTGAGGTACATACAAGCTCTGTACAGATTCTCTCTTGTCTTTATTCCATCTGAGAAAGAAAAAAAGGGGAGGGATGATTTGATTTAATTTATTTAATTTAATGCATGGCTGGTGATGAGACCCCCCATTTGCCTTTATTATGTTTTGCAATTGCATCATGCTTTTGCGGATACGAAACACACAGAATACTTCTCCGTCCAAAATCTTACCTTTGAGTGGGGAAATCACAACTCATATATATATATATATATATATATCCAGTACCTTTTTATTGAGGGATCCTTCAAATAATTTTATTTGAGGGACGCTCTTTAGGGTACTCTACAATTTTTTTTCCAATGATCCAAATTATCTATTTTTTAAGTCTTCATTCATATATTATCCTTACAAAAAAAATTAGACAAATTGGAAACCGTTTCGACATCCAATTATATCATACAAAATCAATGAATATAGTACTTCAAGAAAGTATTAAAATTTCAATAACTCAATTGAACGGTTAAATGATATCGGATTCAAGTGATTTGCTTCAAGAAAGTATTAAAATTTCAATAACTCAATTGAACGGTCAAATGATATCGGATTCAAGTGATTTGTTTGTAAAGATGATCTTTGAATGAGTATCTACAAAATAAACGATTTGGATTAGTAAAATACAATCCGGAGTGGGCCCTACAAGGAGTGTCCCTCAAATAAGCATATTTGAGAAATCCTTCAATGAAAGCTCTCTGTATGCATATATGTCATTTCTAATATCAAACAATATAATTATATGATCACTACTTGGCTAGCTTTGCTAAAAGGGATCATATATTAATCATCAAACGCTTAAATCAATTAATTATTCTGCAAATATATCTTGTATATTAAGATTGGAGGAGAGCATGATTCGTGATGTTCTTGTTGGTGCTGGCATCTTATAGCTAATTAGGTTGGATAGAGGAGGAGGGGGAGTGGGGGGCTTAATTTGTCAATCCTCTCTACGATTCTTTCTATCAGCATTAAACACATGCACAAGTTTAGCAATTTTTTATTTATCTCGATGATTTATCGGAACATTTCAAATTATGGAATAAGGGTGGAATATGGTTTTTATTGGAGTCGAAATTTTCAGGTCCACAAGTAAATAATGTTCAATTCATGTTGAGAAGCATAACGCCATTTTTTTGACGATCAAACTTGATTTGTAAAAATTCATTTTTAGAGTACTCTATAGAAATCTTGTGACAATCAAACTTGATTTGTAAGAATTCTTTACAAGTTTGGATATATAGAGTTTTGAAGACTTTAGAAGTAAATGCATATGTAAATACTGGTTTTAGTAAAGCCAGAAATCTTAGAGTCAATTGCGCGTCAGTTTTTACCAACTTCTCTTGTGGCAAAAGGAGATTTGCAGACTAACCAAGGTCAACCCTTGAGGGTTGTTGACCAGTCAAGTTATAGATAAGGGATAATGAGCATCTCCAACAGTAGTATCAAACCAAACTCTTCAAACTGAAGTTTGTTGATCAAGTGGCAATTTGAAAAGCTTTGTTTGTTATTTTAATAATTTATGCCCCAATAGACTCTTCAATTCAATTAATACAATGTTATGGAAAAACAATGAAAAAAATGAAAACATGTTAAAATTGTCTATGTATTTATTGTTTGAAAATAAAAAATGCATGTTTTTAACATTTTCAAAGTAGTTTCTTTTTTTCTAAAGTAAAATTAAATGATTTGAAGAGTCAATGTCAATTTACCAGTCATGAAGAGAGAGAAAGATGTTATAGCCTTGATGACTGAGTTTGACAAGGCTATTGGAGAAAATTTTGATGATGTGACTCACCTATTTTAGCATTCCGAAGCTGTTGAAGAGACTGTTAAAGATTTATAATATAATCCACAATCATGGGCTAGCCTAACCATGAACCATGAATGAATAAGGGCTTATAATCGTGGTTCAACATATGGGTCAAGGGGTTTGTGTGAACCCAAACTATTTATACATAATCTTCAAAAGTACATATTAGGTTAAAATTATATATTTTAAGTTACACATAGTTTAAAAGTGTAATTGGAATTCAAAAAGGAAAATTGTCGCGCCCAGAAAATTGGGCACGTAATAATGCCATGCCTTATTGACAATGCAATGTTACAATGTTAAAACCATACATCATAATACTACACTCTCAATAGAGCGTAAGACATATGGTTAGAAAAACAAAATGTAGCAAATAAAATGTGGAAATGAAACATCTGAAAATTTATAAAATACTTTCTAAGCACCAGAAAATAAGCAGGCCTACTTATTTACCCTAGGGTCTCACAAAATTATGTGTTCATGTTAAAATGTGATTAGTACTAGCAATGCGTCTCCAACTTACAAAATTATAGGTTTTACAAGAAGGGTATTTAAGAGCGACTCAATTTAACTTAACGTTTAGCTTGTTACGCTTTGTCAATTAGAAGAGCCTCAAGTTGCTTTGCAGGATGTGGTGTTTGAGGACTTGTGTCATGTTCATTAAGTTCCGTCAATAAAATTTTCACATTGCTCTCCAAACCTAATGAAGAGACACTTTTTTTGGGTTTAATATAAGTGATAGTCTAAAGGTCAGTTTGGGATTGCTGTCACTTAAAAAAAAAAAAAGTTGCATCTGCTTTGTTTTGAAAATAATTAGTTGTAAAGTAAAGCAGCTCTATGTTTAGTAAACAATATTTTTAAAGCGGAGGTGGTGGTTGTGGCAATGGCGGTGGTAGTGGAGGTGGTGGAGTTGTATGTGGATGTGGATGTGGTGTTATTTTTAAAAATTAATGATGATTTTGGGAATTAAAAAAATTCATTAAAGGCTCATATGCTTCTTTTGAAAGGCCACTAATTTTAAAATAATCAGGATATTTTAGTTTTGCCAAACACCTTAAACAACTTTAAAGTGAAGCATGTTTTTTTGCCAAAAAAGCAATCCCAAACGGAGCCTAAACCAAATGGTCTACAAGTTAAGACCATTTTTCACTTGATTAGACCCTTGACAAGAAACACCATATTTTTAGGCAATGTGATGGAGTGATTTATGTGTTAGTTAAACATCAATCATAATAGATGATGGAATAAATACACATCAACTTGCGTCTTAAAATTTTTGCATTTTTTGTTACAAAGAAATTCTTGTTCAGTGAACGGAGACAGACAACAGAGAGAAGTGGCAAGCTCTCATCCATCTCTCTCACTACTTTTTAAGTTCTCTCTTGAATTGGGATTTGATATTCTATATATGCAAACATCATCTCATCTCATCTAGAGATTTCCCAACTTTTACGAAGGATGAATTGTACAAAAATGCTCAAAAAGCCATGCGTGCATCACAGCATCACCGTCTTTGTGTGATGCAACTATTCGTGCAAGTCTTCATCCAGCACTTACAATATCCTCCTCCTCCCACGTTATCATCACCAGTTATATCCAAAGTTGACATTCGCCGTCATGCACATACAGTCCCCTCTCAAAATTGTAACAAGGGTATTTACGTCCATAAAAAAGCCAAAGCCCCATATGTTTTTTTGATTATTATTTTTTTGATCTCTCTTATTAAACCCACTTTCGGCCACGTTTGGCTTATCTTTATGGTATCTTAGATTCTTGGCACAACTGGAGGTAAATGAGCTAGTGTAGTACGCCACACAAGTTCCTTTCATGTCAAGGGTAGTTTGGGCATCAATCCAAATATCTAAACGAACCTCCCCTTTTCTCCTTTCGATTAAAAAAAAATGCATATAATATATTATGTCATCTCTAGAGCTTTCTCTCATACGGCTTACCCTATATATACATGCTAACAAGAGATCCAATTCCATCAACACCAAACCAATACACTTCTACTAGATCTACATTTGCTCCATTTTCCACAATTTTCCCATATAATTTTCTTGGCTTCCAAACAAAAACCCCGTTTGAACCATTAGACCTAAATCCCATCTCAGCCATCCTTAACAACTACATTTCACTTTTTGGGTACATTTTATTTTCTTCAAATGGATCGCGTAGCAAAGTTGGCGTCACAAAAGGCAGTGGTGATTTTCAGCAAGAGCTCATGCTGCATGTCCCATGCAATCAAGAGACTGTTCTATGAACAAGGGGTGAGCCCTGCAATCTATGAGCTCGATGAAGAATCAAGAGGGAAGGAGATGGAGTGGGCTTTGGTGAGGCTAGGGTGCCAGCCCTCAGTGCCAGCTGTCTTCATCGGAGGCAAATTCGTCGGCTCGGCCAACGCAGTCATGACCCTTCATCTCAATGGCTCTCTAAAGAAGTTGCTAAAAGATGCTGGGGCATTATGGCTTTAGAAACCCTAAATGGAGCATATTATGCAGTAATCTTTGTGTGTCCCAAATAATTAAGGGTAACTCGTCACTTATATTTTCCTTTTATCTTTCTCTTACATCCAGCGGCTTAAACTACATTTTGTATGGAAAATTATATATAGAGAGTATACTAATTTCAGTTGTGGTTACAACTTGTATAACTACATTACTTTCTCAAGTGCAGTACTATTAAATAGAGAACTATATATTGTATGATTAGTTATCTACTCATTTCCGTTTTTAAGTTTTAAGTATCTCACTAACTAGTTCTCAGTTTTCAAGTTATAAGTACCCTTTAAAGAGGTATATAACTATTAAATGTTAACAATTTTATGCTTTTGAAGTTGTAGATTAATTATTGATGACAGAATATAGTGCTAAGACGTGACGAGGGTTTCCTAAGGCCGATATTAAAATCTTCGTAAAAATTTTGTGTGCACTGATTATATGCAGCATTTCTCTCACAACATGAACACATACAAGTAACGATAGATCTTGAAAGAAACTTATCATACAAAAATGCTTCAAATTGATACTCAAGTAGTGATCTTTAATTAATTAACTTAGAAAAGTAGTAAATGGAAAACAAAACAAAAAAAAGATGATTAGCAGGACCACACTATATATAAAGCTAGGATGCTTTCTAAGTAAACAAAAACATACGCAAGTGCCATATAAAAAGGATTAATCGAATGAGATAGAGCTGAAGATTCTGAGTTGCTTAAATTTGCATCACGTAGCCTTTGGAATAAACTCTGAAATTCTGCAACAAATATTACGTGGTGACAATATACACACAAAAAAGGATCGAATTTTGCAATGTCTTTTCAACGAAATGGATATATTCTTTGATGGCTAAATTAGCTAAATTAGAAATTGGATCAAATTTATTGGAGCTATATATATACATATTCTAGTTAGTGTTGTTCCATCACGCATGGCCTTTCGATTCTGGTGTCGTGTGGTTGATCCGGACAGCCTCAAAGTTTAAATAAATAAAAACACACCTGCATGCCATGCCATCAAAATATTATTCCAATCATCATCATGATCATTTGGTATTCTTATGGTGTGTTAAGAGTAGAATCTATGATCAAGTTAAAGATAGATAATATAGAAGTGAGAAATGAAGGCCCGTTTGATAACTATTTTAATTTTAGTTTTTATTTTTTATTTTTTGTGCTAAAGTATAGAGGAGAAGGAAGAATGGAAGTGATAATGAAAGTGGAGAAAGGATTGAGAGGGAAGATGAGAGGGGAGGATGGGAGAGGGAAGAGTAACAAAAGTGAAAACATAAACTTAAATCTGAAATCTATTTGAAATTATTTTATGATGTAGAACATATGGTGGAAGCAACTGTAGAGGAGTTGGAGCGACGCGAGCAAGGAAAACTCGGGTAAACTGCATAATTGGACTCCGATCTCAAAATCGGGCCCATGACTGGTCAATTTTGCGTCACGAGTAAAACTCGTTGCTTTGCCATGATGTATGGACTTTTTTGGGCATCTGCTCGAAATCCAATTTTGAAATTTTTACAGTTTGTGGAAACTTTGTTATTTTCCTATTTTAATTCCTTTGTTATTTCTAGAGTTTCTAGGAGTATTTAAACCTACTTTACCCGTGGTTATGGTTATATTTTGTTATTCCAATTTTATCAATAAATCTTGAGGTCCCCTCATATCTTCCTGGCTATGTAGCACGGACACTCCATCAGGCCGATGTGTTTGGGTGTCAGACACGACTTAGACACGGGTCAACGGTCAAGACACATGTTGGACATGGTCAACTGAAGTCAAAACACAGCATGGACCATTTTGAAAATTATAAAACAAAAATTGGGGCCAAAACATAATTATTGAAAACTATGTGTACATATTTAAAATAGTATTAAAAAGTGGGCTACAAATGTCAACAATATTTTTTTAAAATATGTTTTTTTTTCTTTGTTCCTTCATAGCAGAGCTGATATTTTTGGTTGACTAAGGATATTGATAGCAAGTCGTGAGAGAAGCATCTTTTTGAGTGGGTAATTCATTCACTTTGTTTTTATTTTTTATTTTTATGCAAACTAAATTCTTATTTTATGAAGTGGGATATGGTTTTTCTTATTTTGAAGATGATAGATCATATACGAAAAATGTGTGAAATTTGGTTTATGATGAATCATGAATATGTGAATAAATATGTGTATCATTCTTTATTTTGTTTAGGAGGGAAAGATGAGTAATGCTAAGTTAACTCAAATGAGTATGAATTTGTTTTATGGTATTATGACGTTGAAGTATTAAATATGATTTTTTTTCCAAATATATATATAAGTATATACTATTGTAATTTTATTAGGATTTATCATTATTTTAATTTTCGTGTTCTAGTCGTGTCCATGTGTTTTAGTTTTTTTGAGATTTTCTGTATTGTTGTGTCGCGTTTCCTTGTCCTCGTGTTCATGTCCAAGTCCATATCACTTTTGTTGCTTCTCCCTCCCATCCTCCCCTCTCATCCTCTCTCAATCTTATCCTCACTCTCATTTTCCTCTATACTACTAAAAACTAAAATTAAAATGGTTATCAAACGAGCCCGAAAATTATAACAATTTTAAAACAAAGATATCATTTGTGATTAGAAATTTGGAGCTCTGATACTATGTTAAATATAAACATATAAACTATTAAAGAATGAGCTAGGAATGTCATATTTAATTGTTGTACTTAATAGTCGCCTAGAGCTAGGGCATGACACATTTGCTGAAGTATCCAAATTATTGTACGTAGCAGCATATATATATATATATATGCTCCCAATCCCAAAACTCCTTCACAATTTTGTGTATATTTCAATTATGGAGCTAGGGCTCATTTGGGACTACTTCTTTAGGAAGCAATTTTGCTCATAAGCGCTTTTGTTATAAAGTATTGAAATTTTCATAAGAAATTCAAGTACTTCTTGGAAAAGCACTTGGGAGTGCTTTCTGAAGAAGTACATAATAGGTGCTAGCCTCCAGAATGCGTTTCTATGACCCATAAGCACTTTTAATTTTTTTTTGTCAAATGCTGTCAGAAGTGCTTTTGGTTATCAAAAAACGCTTTTACTCCTCCCATAAGCACTTCCAAGTGGAGCTAGCTTTCATTTCTTGGGGGCCCAATAATATAGATTTATTATTTTTTAAGGGCCGACAACATAAATTTTTCAATATTTTGCAACAATTACATAAATTTAATACACATTTGACATGAAATGTTAGAATTTTCGGAGGGGTGCACGACCTCAGACCGAAGTGTGGCTCCCCCGTGCTAGGTGCTTAGTGTTGTGGTGTATTTATTATGATCATGATCCTCGTAATTTTCATCACTTTCTTAATTAATTTGTTGTCCAAACTCCAGCATGATCGATCTCATCAACCTATTATGTATTATAATCTATTTGATTTAGGGCAAAACTGGATGTAATGCACAGATGATATATACTTCTGATGTTTTAGGTTTATTGATGTTGTAATGAAGATTCATTTGACCACAAACTTGGACGGGGAGGAGGGGAAATGACCTAATTAAGCACAAAATAAGTGGCTCAATAATTCAATTCAACCATCAAATGCTAATATGAACTTCTAAGGCTGCAATTAGATGTTTTGCCTACAAAACCACTCAGCCAACCTGAAATTCCAACCTGGGAAAAAAAAGATACTTCACCTTTATTATATATGCGGCACTTTGTGGCTCCATTTTGGAAAAGCTAGCTAGATAGGCAATATATTCACCTTGTCTATATTGTGTGTTCGAATTGATTCCACGTTATCTTATAATATGCCAAAAATTAAAAATCACCGAGCATGAAAACAAAAGTACATATAACAATTAATGGGCTCACCGTCAGCATTTTATGTCAACAAGGTCTAGTCTAATGAAAATAGACCTTAATTTACATACTAAAGATCTCAGGTTCAAACTCCTATGGTATATTAGTTGTGTGTGTGTAAGAAACCCCCCATCTTCTATGGTTTAGACTATCATTTGTACCCAAATAAAAATGTTGTGCGTGCAAAACCCAACGATAGTATATAATGTTAAAACTTGTGGCAACTTTTTCAAAAAGAGGCTTGGGCTTACGATGAGGTTCGGGTTCAATATGAGCCCCACAATATATTCAAGAGCTACATCATTGGGCTTTTCCCTCAAGACTTAGTCAATGACAACTAGAGTTCTAATTATGTATATGTAGCTATATAGCTTTATGTTTTTTTTTCTTTATTCAATGGAAGGGAATGAACTTTTGACCTAGTTTAATCCAGTTAAGATCTTTATAGTGAGAGGAAGTTGAGTTTGGACTGCCCGTTTAAGGAAAAGTTTACTCGTTTAAGTAAAAATTTACTCATTTAAGTTGACAATGAACAACATAACATGTTAGACTATTTGACAAAAAAATATTTTTATATTGTTGTAACTTGTATATAAAGAATCCGTATGAAATTAAAGATGATGTAGGATGTTTTCATTGGTGGCATTGGTTGCTTCGTCCCTAATTCAATGTTAGCTTTATTTAGCGAAAAAAGCTATAAGGGAAAGGAAAGCTAGCAACCCAACGATCATATTAGGCAGATTCTACCAGACAAAACTTATCTTGCTTTTCATGTCATCCATCTGAAGTTCAATGCATATTCAAGAACTTAAAAAAGGTACTTGATATCATGTAAAAGAAAGTAAAAGATGATTAGAAGGGCCATTAAGATCAATTCTTCATGTGGGCAGGCCAGTGTTAATTTGAAAAGACATACATTCCCAACTTTGAGTGATTCAAAAGCTTTTACCAATCTACTATTAATAATAGATTAGCTGATTTAATCATGCATTAAACCACACACCAGCAAAGACATATGGTAGCTTAATTATGTAGCCAAATAAAAATAAATAAAAATTCTCCTTTGCGCAATTGCACAAATATATTAGTGAAGATTCCAATATCACATCTTCTTTTCCAGTCACTTAGTATAGATTTTCCCAAGGCTAACAAATTAAATTAATTGGGCATTAACCATCTAAAGCTATGCATAATGCCTTGATATTCACTCATATAGATGACGGGGAAACCTATATAAGTGTGCTGGCTTTTTATTGTCATTGTGCTACACATTTTTATCCTCCAATTAAAGGGAATTTTTTTTTTCCTTCACATAAAATTAGTATTGGCTTTTGTTTTGTTTTGTTTTTCCTTTCTTTTTTTCACATGGATGTCTTAGATGCTTAGGGAGTGGAGAATGATTAGGTATGCGAGGTAAATAATTTAACGCATATATTATGGTTAGGGATGAGTACAATTTCTGACCATAGATGCATGTGAAACCAACAACACATTAATGGATCAAATTAGTGTCCGTAAACAATTGAGGGTAGCAAAATTCAAATATTTTAATAGTAAGAAGCCTAGAAAGCCCTAGATTGGTAGGTGCTATTTATGTTGAAGCAATCGTGTAATGTTTTTGACATTGGCACTTTGATTGTGTAAGTTGGGTGGTCAACTGAGGTTATTGGTTATTACTGGACATGAGCACATGCAATGTGGTGCGTCCCTGCGAAGTCTGCAGGAGCCAAAAGCCTCACAGCCGTAGGAAGTGCCCAATAGACTCAGCTTTTAGCTAACATTATGCCTATGGCTATGGATATGGGGTGCATCTTGGGTTGGGTTTGGTTGGTTTGGGTGGGATATAATCATCTTAAGTTGAAGTTTCAAGTGGAGCGCATATTCTAGAAATGTGCCCATTCTCTCGTGGCTCATGGGCATTGCTAAAAGCTCAAAATTGAGCTAGTGCTTTAGCCCAATTGTTTTAGGTTAAATTATATAATTAATGCTAACGAGTTCTAATTCAGTGGAAAATGGTCTTGACTTAAAGACCAATGGTCTCAAGTTCGAACCCTCCCATAGCACCTTCATAATATGTGTATAAGAAATCTCCTTCCCTCTTATAGTTTAGATTATCGCTTGTATGAAAAAAAAAATATATATATTAATATGCATTTCTTCATGTGCAATTTATATCCTATGTTAATATATAAAAAGAGATGCAAGATGCTTGTAGCTTAAGTAGTTAAGAGCACTTATCTTTGCATTCGAGGTCCTAGGTTCAATTTCATCTTCTTCCATTATCACTTTTTGTGTGTGTGTGTACATATATATATCAGTAATATTAAAGGCACCAATTTTTATACCAACTGATATGGCATACATATGACATGGTTGATGATGTTAGAACTCCAAACCTGAGACTCAGATCTGGTTTTCCTACGTACTAGTTTCATTATGTCTATTCAGTTTTCTTATTATGAAGTTTATTTGGGTTGGTGAATCTGTATTATTGCTCTTTCTTCTTTGCACTCCAAAAGATACAGAGAAGATATGTCATGGCTCGAGACATCATAAAAAAAAATTTAAGGAAAAAAACTAATGTTATGGATTACATAGATGAGTATATCCCTTACATCGGATTTTTTATCATTTATTTTTATGTAAGGTTAAATCTGACGGTGTTCAAAAAAATGGAGTTTGTTTTTCCTAAATTTTTCTGCAAAAGTTGTGCGATTATGGTGACAGTACTACGAAGGAGGTTATGGAGGAGCTATAGAGCGGCAATGGAGGGTGTTCTTAGGTCGCGGCTGCGTTCAATGGATGAAAGATGTCTATTGAAGATACAAACATATAAAAGTTATATAAATTAACCAAATAAAATAAGATAAACAAAATGAAGGATGTAGCACATGACTTGGATTGCCATGTCATACGCTAAGTCAGTTGGTAACAAAAAGTTGGTATAAGAGTTGATGTCCGTAGCATTACCGGTATATATACAAAAATTCTCCTATATAGACATCTGGACATTATTATCATGTGAACGCTATATATTTTGTACTATCTCTCCCCGCTTTCTTGCTTGTTTACAATAGTATATGCTGGATAATAACGTGCAGACATCCAAATAAAAGAATAACTATATATATAAGAAATGAGAAGATAATGACTTTTTTTTTATGAGAAGATAATGACTTTTTAGAGTGTTAATAACGACTCCCTTTAATTTAAATGGTAAAAAGTTGAAATTTTTTCAGCCCTTAGACCAAGTCTCTCCTTTTCTTTTTACTGCAATTTGAATTCATTAACACCCCTATTAGTGAAGTGTGAACTCATACTTTACCTTCTCTTGACAAGGTTTTCTTTTTAATATTAATTTTTAGTCAGAGGAATTGGGTTTGTGGTAGGGATGTTAGGCAGTAGTTGTTGGTTTATTTGACTAGAAAATATATAAATAAAAAATAACATAAAATAACAAGCAACTTGTACAATCTTATTGGGCCTTTTCAATTCACAGCACACTCTAGAGACTTCCATTGGGCTTGGGTTCACCTCCACAACAACAAAAATATTTCATTTTTTATAATTTTTTTTTGTAGTTTCTTACCCCACAATGTATAAAATATAAAATTTTGTACTGGTATTAGTTTTTATAATTTTTTTAAAAATTTGTCAGAAGGGTGTACTGTGCTACTCTGAGCTCCCCATAAGGTTGGATCAGGCACCATGACGTCATACCTTTTATCCAAGCCACCCACTCATCTTTCCATCCAACGGCTCACAGCCCAAATACCACGCATAACAAAATACTCCCTATCGCACCCGATCACCACTCTTCCTTACAAAACACAAAGTCTGAATGTAGTTTTAAGACATGTGTTAAGAATGTCCATCGCAAGTGTGTGGAAGCACATCTCCTTGGGAGGCGGGCCCCACTTTTCCGACCGTGATGATGATTATTAGTATTGGTATTAACCCTTGCTTTGGCTGTAATATTTTGACATTCCGAGGGGTAAAAAAAAAAGTTTCAAAAAAAAAAAAAAAAAAGCAAAACCGGAAAAGCATTTTCTTATTTATTTATTTTCCTTGTTGGTGGCATAAAGCATCTTCTTATTATTCCAAGAGATTACACTACGTATTAGGATTTAGCTCTTAATGACAACATAAATCCATAGTTAAATTCGAAGTTAATCCCCAAGGACTCTTATTATTATTTTCATTATTGTGGGTTTGCTTATTTCACATATTTGTTTATTTTTTGTTACTTTATTTTATTTTTTGGGGGCTTCTTTTTCTTTAGTCTTTACCTTCTCTTATTACACACCACATCAGTTTTCTTCGATTTGTTGATCTGCTTCTCAGACATGTTGGTCTCGATCTTTCTCTTAAATGGCTACTGGGGATCCTAGAGAGAGAGAGGGAGGGTCAGAGAGAGAGACAAAGAGACAGAGTGGGTGAATTTGAATTTTGATTGGAATTGTGATATGGGGTTGTGTATGGAGAGGAAGGTAGGTAATGAATGATTGTGAAAAGTTTTGAGCTTTGTGGGGCTTTGTTGGGTGGCTTTGATTTGCTTGGACTTTGATATGGGTGGGTGCTTTCCTTGTTTTGGATCATCCAACAAGGAGGGTAGTGGTGTAAAGGAAGTGACCAAGAAGGACTCAGTTAAAGAAGGCTCAGCTGCTCAGTCTCACCATGTTACAAGAGTTAGCTCAGGTGAATTTTCTTTCTCCATTTTTTTTCGAAACTGTTTCTGGGTTTTCTTTAGTTTTGGTTAGTCTGATTACTGGTTTCTTATGGTTGTGCTGAATTTTGTAAATTTATGGTGTTTTTGGAAGTCTTCTGATGGTGGGTTTCTGGTGGAATTTTTTATTATGTTGATCTGATGCGTCTGTGGTGGTGGTCGTTTTTTTTTTTTCGGGTTGGTTTTCTAATTGGGGTTTTCATGCTTTCTCTGTTAGAGTGATTCCTTGTTTGTGGATTTTCTTTGTTTGTGTTGTTTGGACTTTAACTTGATGGAGTTGCAAATGGATCATTCCTGGAGATCTGCAATTAATTTCTGAAGTATTAAGCAGTTTGCTTTCTTTTGATGACGTTTCTGTTCATTCTTGAACTACCAAATGTATGAGAAAGAGTTTCTAATAAGTGAGGTGAAAGCTTTAATGGAACAACCAAAATTTAAAACAGAAATCTTTTTACTTTTCAGATGCTGTGCACCTCTGTATACAATTTAGAATCTATATTAGTTGAAATGTTTAAGCTTTAAATTAACATGGTCGTTGGAATCACTACCATGGCAATTTCTGTGTGCAATACAGACTACAGTACTGGTTTGGATTACTTGTCCAGCACAGGACATCCAACAAATGTGTGTTATGCGATATTATGGTGGACATATTGGAGTAATCATCATTTTCAATGATTTGATTGTACTATGTTTGCTTGTATATTTTGCATTTAGAAAACATAGAGGCCATTACCATCTCACTTCTTGTTTTCTTTTTCCCATTTTTATAAACGTCTATTAGGCTACTGAATATTTTCAAGAAATTCAGGGAAGATGTTATGCTGGATCTATGTATTTTAGTTTCATTGTTAACCAAAACACCTTTTTAACATCTTTGTTCCTTTTCCATAATTTTTGCAGACAAAAAATCTCGAAATGGTTCTGATCATAAGAAAGAGCCAGCTATTCCAAAAGATGGACCTACGGCACACATTGCTGCACAGACATTTACTTTCCGGGAGCTCGCAGCTGCAACAAAGAATTTTAGGCCAGAATGTTTATTGGGCGAAGGTGGTTTTGGACGTGTCTACAAAGGTCGATTGGAGAGCACAGGACAGGTAGGTTGATTGGTTGAAAATGAAATGAGAATCATCATCAAAGCATGTTTTGAGTGTTTGCCTCTGAGTTATTTATCCTATCTGTAAGATTTGGGATCTTATTCAGCATATTCCACATCGTTCTACATTTTGCTTTTCCAAAGATTATATGCACTTATGCAGAACTCAATTGTTGAGTCTCCATCTACTCCATGATGGATCTCTTTACTTTGGAATAATTTGTTTCCAGGTAGTTGCCGTGAAACAACTTGACCGGAATGGCCTTCAAGGAAATCGAGAATTTTTGGTGGAGGTTCTTATGCTTAGCCTTCTGCACCACCCAAACCTTGTCAACTTGATTGGCTATTGTGCTGATGGGGATCAACGCCTCCTTGTTTATGAGTTTATGCCTTTGGGATCCTTGGAAGATCATTTACACGGTCAGATTGAATTTCTTTTATTCCCATAGAAAAGATAGAGACTTTTACTTTATTTAATGGTGATGCACCTTATACAATGTACATGTTAAATACATATTCTGGATAACTAGTTCTGCATGTGTAAGTCCTAAAATGTTAGTTCCTTTACGTGATCTTTTGAATTTGCAATAAGCTTTTAGGGATTGCTTTTATGGCAACATTTCTCCCATGTAACATGAGTTAATCAGGGGTTCAGCAAAAGCTTTGTGCGTCGTAGTGAAAACTCAGTTGTTTCCATTAGAATATATGAAGTATGTACATACTTTGTGTTGTGTCGTCATGTTTTGTGTATGGTATGTGTCTGTTTGATGGCTGTCTTAAAAAAAATGTAAGAGCTATTGTGGCCTGTGAATTGAGTTATTTTATGGGGGTTTGCAGTCAAAAGTACTAATTAATTGACATCACCGAAGTAATGTTGCATTAGTCAAGAAAATTAAATGCCTGTCAGGCATTATCTAGGAGTTCCTAACTAAAATTATCTTGGGGCTGAAGCTTTTTAAGGTATACAATGTCAAGAAGTTCTATCACTTGAGTTAAGTATTATGCAAATAGGTTACCATCACTGAAGTAGATGGGAGTGCTGATGATTAAATTCACATAATTAGTGATAGTGGATGGTTTATAGCTTTTGCCAAGTCAAAAAAAAAAAAAAAAGAATCATGACATGGTGAACTATTGATTAATGGTTTCTGCTGTTTCCTTGACCATCATACAATGTTTTACCCGACTCTGTTATGTTTATCATTAGTGAGATTGGATGTCCTTCCTACGGGGAAAATGTAATTAAAGTTTATTGGGGAATTCCAATTTAGAAAAACTAGTGATGACCAATGATTGTTGGAGAAGACGTGGAAAATCTTCACTATTATAAGTTCTTAAATCTAGCTGCCTAGCTACTCTTTGGCCTATGATTGTATGGCTCTTATTTTGGTTCATTACGTTCATGGGACATTGTGTGTTTCTGTTGTAGTTCTAGGCTTGGTTTGCTTAGTCGAAATTCCAAATTTCATCTTTTTCACATTTGTCAATCCATGTACTGTTTAAATTGGGGATACTAGAAGACTAGGAAGGGCATCACTTGAATGTACATTGGGACTATGGTCCTAAGAAAAGCAGTACTGAGATGTACACGGGATATGTACAGAAGCCCTTTATGTAAAGCTGACATCGTATTGATGTTGATTCCAATTTAGAGGAAGCTGTTAATCTAGTCACCACTTTGTCGTAGAAGAAAGAAGGGGAGGAATCTTCACTGTATATTTAATCTAGTCACCACTTTGTCGTAGAAGAAAGAAGGGGAGGAATCTTCACTGTATATTTAATCTAGTCACCACTTTGTCGTAGAAGAAAGAAGGGGAGGAATCTTCACTGTATATTTAATCTAGTCACCACTTTGTCAGGCCATGAGATAGGGGTGAGGTAGGGGTGAGGGGGAAAAGATCTAAATAGTATGGAGAGGTGATTAGATTCAAGTTCAAGGCAAAGGGCCCTCAAATTAGTATTGGAACAGGAAAATAAAGTTTGAAAAGGCCCTGAATGAAGCTAAGCTGAAAAAGGGGTTTGGCAATTCCCAAGTTGTTAGAATCAAGGCTTTAACTCAATTTATCTATCTCCAAAGATGTGGACTGCTTCCCTAATAAAGTCTTGTGTGGGTCAACTACCCATACCTGGGTTCAAGTTTACCAAGGATCTCTAGGAAACCTTTCTCAGTGCTAACAAGTGAACAACTAAACACTGCTCGGTGAAAGAAATACTATATTAACCAGAAAATGTTAACATGAGACAGTAAATAATATAAACAGAATTCTCTAGATGAGTAATTTTATGGTTACTGGCCTTTTCTGCAAACATGATGATTACTTTTGCCATATCTAGTATACGAAATGAAGAATACAAGTCAATGATCACATGGAAGAATGCCCACACATGCCTACATTTCATATATGTATAGAGCACTTCATGGACAAGTGATGTCAATGTCATACCGTGAATGCATAGAGATCTAAGTCATAATTACTTAATTTAATGTACTGAGAAGCATCTGTAATTATTTTGCTTAATCACATCACCAAAACTTCAAGATTGTAATTTTGAAAATGCTTAAGAGCCTAATTTTAAAATTTGCCAGTATGATTATCTGTATTTTCCTTGAGCAACTTATTATACCCTCAAATCTCTTAGTTACTCAAGTAAAAGTCTGAAGTTTGTGTTGTGCGTGTATAATTTCTGTAAATTACCCAGATTGCTTTTCTTTTACTGTTTTTTTCAGATTTTCCGTCGGATAAGGAACCCCTGGACTGGAATACAAGAATGAAGATTGCAGCTGGTGCAGCTAAGGGGTTGGAGTATTTGCATGATAAAGCAAACCCTCCCGTTATATACAGAGACTTGAAATCATCCAACATCCTTCTTGATGAGGGCTTTCACCCGAAGTTATCTGATTTTGGGCTTGCAAAACTAGGTCCTGTTGGTGACAAGACACATGTCTCCACACGTGTGATGGGGACATATGGTTACTGTGCTCCAGAATATGCTATGACCGGCCAACTCACTTTGAAGTCTGATGTCTACAGTTTTGGAGTGGTCTTCCTCGAACTTATTACAGGCCGAAAAGCCATTGATAATACCAGAGGTCATGGAGAGCATAATCTTGTTGCATGGGTAAGCATTCATTTATCATTTGAGAATTTTTCCGTCGTCAGCATTTATCTAGTTAACTTTTCATGGATTCACTTGAAGCAAAGGTTTCCCTTTTCTTCTTTTTTTTGTCTTTCCATTTTTTGGCTCTTTGGTTTGCAGGCAAGGCCACTTTTCAAGGATCGTAGGAAGTTCCCAAAAATGGCTGATCCACTATTGCAAGGCCGTTACCCAATGCGAGGGCTTTACCAAGCTCTTGCTGTTGCAGCCATGTGTTTGCAGGAACAAGCGGCTACAAGGCCTCTAATAGGGGATGTTGTGACGGCTCTCACATACTTAGCCTCTCAAACATATGATCCAAACTCAGCCAGTGGTCATAGTAACAGAGTTGGTCCATCCACTCCTAGGCACAAGGACGAACGAAGGAACATGGCAGATGGACTGGATAGCCCAGATGAACCTGGACGTGGTGGGCGGCATGGTTCCCCTTCTACGCATAAAAACTCACCCGATTACAGAAGGAGGGACTTGAATACTGGCGTAGAATTAGGGAGGATTGAAACTGGCACAGGGTCTGGGAGAAGGTGGGGTTTAGATGGGTTAGAGCGACAAGAGTCTCAGAGAGACAGTCCAGTGAGTGCTGGGAGAGCAAGGGAAAATCCAAGAAATCGTGATCTAGATAGAGAACGTGCAGTGGCTGAGGCAAAGGTTTGGGGTGAAAATTGGAGAGAAAAGAAGCGAGCAAATGCAATGGGTAGCTTTGATGGTACAAATGAGTAAATGCACCAACATGCCAAGCAAATTTTTCTATCACCTTCTGAGGGGAAAAAAAAAAGTGTTGTTAGGTTCTGGGGCTCATTGTTGATGAAAGAGAAATTGCAAGAGGTAGATCATCCTCTACGATCTTGGTTTCCATCTTCACCAAGGGAATAAGTGTCCTTTCATCGTCCGGCTTTCGCTATTGTTTGCTTGTCATGTCATTCTTGTAGTTGAGTATGGAAACTGAATGCTTGGGTATTGTGGTAAAAGAAAAACAGTAAGAGAAAGGGAGGTATTGGAGGAAGGGGGTAGATTCACGATTTCGGGGGATTTACTGGTGTAGCCCCACAGCGGAATGGTTGTATGGAACATATTCATCTTTGTATTTATGTTCTGATGCTCATATTACAGGGAGAGTCAGGACGATGTGTAATTTTTGCCCCATATATTAGCCTGTTGTAAGTGGGGGAATTAGTGGGTTTGGTTTGGATGTTGTTACATCTTTGTACTCATACAATCTCATGTATGGATTTCTGAGTCATGTTTTCGGCCTATACAGAAACGTTTGATCCGATTGTTCTCTATGTAAATTTCTCTCCTTATCAAAGCTATTTTCCAAATGTTTTTAAGTCTTCAATATTCAAGTGCAAAAACAGAACAAAAAAATCCTATTGCAAAATATTGGCTTTCACACTATGTAAAGCTACATCCATTAATCATTCTCTTCTTTATGTCATGACATTCATTCGTTCGGCATGGACCCAAATTGAAGAAATATGTATTGATAATGTGTCGAAGTATTTTTTTTTTATTGGCATATTATCGACAATGATATTGGCACTTTATTAGTATCAATCTGCCGCATCTGTATAAGAACTGATTTTTTTGTTTTTTATTTTGCCAAAGTTAGGAAAGTGAAAGATAGGGGTTCGAATCCAAAACCACTGATCTACATGTTATTGCCCTTTTCTATTGGAGTTGACCCTATTAGCGTAAGGAAGAATTGATTTATAGATGGTACATTTACAACCTCAATGAAAAGACAATTGAAGTTGAGCATCCATAAAGCCTAGGGCAAAAGAAAAATACGGGAAATGGCGTGCAGGTGGACAACAGAATTGCAACCACTCGTACAGCCTAAATGCCAACCACCAGGCAAACAAGATATGATATATCTACTCCCCAGTAGCTAATAATTCATAACACGACATGAAACCAATGAAAGCCAATCTGCATGTCATTTTACCGCAATAAATGACGTTACAAAGTACCATAACTAGACCCACGCTAAAAGAAAAATTAATAAATTAATAATAAATAAATAAACAAATCCTCGGGCTACTTTTGATGTGACTTTCGAAGATGCTTCTACAATTTCACTTCAGTTGGGTAAATCTAAAACAGCTACTACTTCGTCCCCACCAAGGAAAAAAACAAACCACAGCTACTACTGCTCACAAATGGGACAAAAGTTACTTCGTGTTTTACTTTCTACCCTCTGCTGGAAAATATTTACTGCAAGTACATATTGGAATGTATTTCAAGCTCCAATTTGCTCAAAAGTACTCATTTGAGAAGTAATGAGATACTGTCCTCAACATCTGATATTCTGACGATCCATGATTTTGTGACAAATTTTAAAAAAATTCTAGTGTAATGGAAAGGTGTTCGAACTCAAGTGCAATGGGGCGGGCACAATTCCTTGACCATCTGACAATTCATGAATTTCCCGAACATATTATGTCACAACACAACACAAGCAATTACCCAAAAATATACATCTCATTAAATGACCTAATAGTAATATTCCTGGTGTTCAAAACATTGGGGGTAAATCAGTACTAGGCGCTATTCGTTTTTACAGCCTCATAATTTGGTTAAGCCTTCCATTCCACCACCACTGTTGAGATCACGGGTAATGTTGAACCCTGATCGTGATCCCAAAAACATCGGGGGAAAATTAATATATAAAAAAGAAAAACCTAAACTCTGGCATCCATGCTTCCAAGTCCCTTAATAATCCTGATCGTCAATTTTTATATCATTTTCTCCTCTTTC